TTCTAAATTGTTTGTCTCTTTATTGGTTCTTCAAAGAGTAGGGCCCTTTCAGCTCAGTCACTATCTAGATGGGTCAGACTTGGTATTGAGGAGTGTTAAAGGTGAACTTCACTTTCCCTTCCTTCTTCTCTTAGAGCTTACAGTACTGGGGGGTGGCCATATCTACAGCATTTCGCAGACATGTTCCTATTGTGTTTTGCAAGGCCATTACATGGGCTCAATATGTACTAGATTTAGAATTTGTGTCCAGTGCTTGTTTTGGTAGGGCAGTACTTCAATGGTTGTTAAATGAGGGCTTCACCCCTCCTTCCTTATAAAGGTACTGCTCGCCAAACTTTCCCAAGAATAGGAATATTCAGACGGCACTGGAAGAAGAAATGGAGGTTACTTGTAACTGGAGTACTTGGAGATGCACTCTGCACATTCACACTCCCTGCCCACATTCCCTGCTTCTGCAGAGTCCTAATTGTATCTTTACTTGGTATTCTGCATTAGCATTTGGAAGGAACTGAGGCAGCAATGGCACCAATGCCTCTCCTGTAGCCACATCCCAGCTCTGATGCGAACTCGAGGGACAGAAAGTGAGGGGCAAGGTTTCTCTAATAGGCACTGTTACTAGAAGGTTCCACCATCCTTGCTGCACTGGATCGGCACATCCCCAAGAATATGAATATACAGAGTGCATCTTGAAGAACTCCAGTTACTAGTAACAGGTTTCAGAATGGTAGCCGTGTTAGTGTGTATCAGCAAAAAGAATGAGGAGTACTTATGGCACCTTAGAGACTAACAAATTTATTTGGGCATAAGCTTTCATGGGCTAAAACCCACTTCTCTAAGGTGCCACAAGTTACTAGTAAGTACCTTCCATTTCCTATGACCACCCTTACGCTGGATCAGGCTGTAGATGTGATATATCTTGATTTTAATAAGGCTTTTGACACAATTCTACAACATATTCAAAAGGAAACTTGGGAAATGTGGTCTAGATTAAATTACTATGCTATATACTCAGTGCTTATCAGTGATTCATTGTCAAGCTGGGAGGGTGTATCTAATGGGTCACGCACAGGTCAGTCCTGGGTCTGACACTATTCAATATTTTCATTAATGACTTGGATAATGGAGTGGAGAATATGCTTATAAAATTTACAGATGAAACCAAGTTGCGAGGAGTTGTAAGGACTTTGGAGGAGAGGATTAAAATACAAAACAATTTTAATAAATCAGATGGTCTAAAATCAACAAGATGAAATTAAATTAAGTGAAAGGAAGGAAAAATCAAAAGCATATATACAGAATGGGGAACAACTTTCTAGGCAGTAGTACTGCTGAAAAGGATCAGGGATTATAGTGGATCACAAATTGAATATGAGTCAATAATATGCTGTTGCTAAAAAGGCTAATATCATTCTGAGGTGTATTAACAGGAATGTCTTATATAGGACACAGGAGATAATTCTCCTGCACTACTTAGCTGTAAGTTTTGATTTCCAAATAGTTCTCGGTTTACAACAGCTTAATTTATAGAGCACTATGATGATTCATACTTCCTGCAATAGGCTATGAAGGCAATGTTGCCAATTATTGCCTGTATTCTGTATACATTGGCCAGATGGAAAGATTATGCTTTGGTGAAGCTGGCGCCATGGAATCCCTTCTTAGACACTCTGCAACCCTGAAAGAGTAGGAATATCTTACAAAGCAATCAGAATAGTCCAAATTTTGCAAGTCAGTGAAGGCTCATGCAGTTTTATGGAAGTACCAGCTCTTAGTCACATATTGTGGCCTGTTTAATTTTTAAAGGTGAGTTTGTAGGTGACTTATTTTTATTACATAATGAACACCCAAAAAACCTACAGTAGAAGAAGGTTAAGATTCTGAAGGCAAGCACTCAAAAGTTAAGAAATTCTGGAATGTGCATCTTTAATTCCACAGGCATATGCATTATATTTGTGTTTAATGACATGATCACACACTATTTTTTCCATGGGACCCCTGCTCATCAATGAATGAGTAGTTCTTCAATATTTTATGTTTATCTGCCTATTTCAAAGTGTGCCCCCAGGCTTTATTTTACTGCCACCATCCCAATGCTGCCCTGAATACAGCATTATTCACTTCTTCAGGGACATTTCCATCGTCCTCTTGAAATAGGAACCGAATGCTTCACATACAATAATGAATTTGTCTTCACATCTCCTCTGTAAGATTTGGTAAGGGTATTATATCCCCATTTTATAGCTGCATAACTGAGATAAATTAAGGCCAACTGTCCACTAATTTGGGATGCCCAATTTGTGGGAGACAGGGTCTAATTTTTCAAAGCCCTTAGCATTTGTATAGCACATTACATGTTCAAAGCACGGCTCCAACTGACTTCAGTTGCAATAGTGTGTGTACTTCAGCAGTTCTGTAAGTCAGATGCTAGGTGGACCCTTAAAATGAGAAACACAACTAATGGCCAGCTGTAAAAATGTTGGTTTACTGACTTGTCCAGCATCACACAGGAACTCTGTGGCAGAGGCAGGTGTGGTGTTCAGATTGAAAATCACTCTGAGCCAAGGAATCTGACAGTGTTTCCACTTCATTCGGTGTCTGACTTCTAACTGACCAGCATTGCACATGAGCCTTCTGCATAACACAACTTGTTCCAGTTGGCTCTTGCCAAACCCTCTTAAAGGTACACTTCCCCACAACAGGGATAGAATCCAGTTCTCCAGGGTGGCATTCAATTTCTATTACCATACGACTATCCTTTCTCTTTTTACAGTCACCTGCTTTCTTCACTACGTACCTTCCAACTTCTGCAACAAATGAGGCAGAGGCCCTACAGACAACAGCCTTTTTCATTACACAACCCTGATTTGTTCCTAGAGCACTGTTTATCCTGTGCACTGAATGAGGCAGGGGTCCTGTGGAAAAATGTGTAATCATGTAATTAAAGACTGCATCATAATGCATATGCATAAGAAGGCTGAATTAATGTGCTCAGTCCCTGCATTCCTGGGCTGGAGCGTGCTCAGTGCAGATTGATTTTCTGAGACTTTACCTGCCAAGTCTCTAATTAGGATGTGTAACCTGGAATATTTGAAGGCTTATATCTTGGATCCAATTTTCACAAGCATAGCAAAAGGCACAACTCTTGACAGCAGGGTGACCCACTTTGCCAAATTTCAAGCCCTTAAGAGCATAAGGGCTCCCATACTGGGTCAGATCAATGATCCATCCAGCTCAGTATCCTATCTCTGAGAATAGCCGCTACCAGAGCTTCAAGGGGAGTGTAAAGAACAGGGCAGCTGGAGTGATCCACCCTGTCTTCCCCTTCCAGCTTCTGGAAGTCAGAGGTTTAGGATTGCCCTGAGCATAGGGTTACACCCCTGACCATCTTGGCTAATAGCAATTGATGGACCTATCTTCCATGAATTTATTTAGTTCTTTTTTGAACCTAGTTATACTGTTAGCCATCACAACACCCAATGGCAATGAGTTCCACGGGTTAATTGTGCATTGTGTGAAAAATACTTCCTCTTGTTTGTATTAAACCTGCTGCTTATTAATTTCATTGGGTGACCCATGGTTTTTGTATTGTGGAAAAGAATAAATAATACTTTTCTCTGCACCATTCATGATTTTATAGACTTCTATCATATCTCCTCTTAGTTGGGTGAACAGCCCTACACTTTTTAGTCTCTCCTTAGCTGGAAGCTGTTCCATACCTTTGATCATGTTTGTTGCCTTTCTCTGAAACTTCTCCAGTTCCACTGTATCCTTTATGGGATAGGGTGACCAGAAATGGACACAGTATTCAACGTGCGGGCACACCATGAGTTGTGGCATTATGCCATATAGTAGCATATATGTGCCATATAGTGGCATTATGATATTTTGTCTTATTTTCTATCCCTTTCTTAACAGTTCCTAACATTCTTGCTCTGGCGCATGGAATGCTAGAGTTTCTCAATGGAAAAGTTGCAATAATTTTTTTGAACAAGGGCAAAACAATGTAGGCTTCCCTAATCTTGTTCCTTGAAATAACTCAAGCTTCCAATAAATAAATATTAGCCTGAGATAGACACCTTACATTGAAAATTTCAGCCTGAACAATGTGGAAAAGTTATAAGCAACTGAAAACAGGATCTTATAGTGGGAAGTATGTGATGGGGTGTGCACCCTACATCAGTCCTGAAGAAACTGAATTAGGTGAGGGGGCCCAATCAGTCAGTTAAGCTGCAAATAGGGGAGATTTAGCTTGTGAGGAGGCCACTAATTCGAATGAAACTCACCTGTAAGGGAATAGGTGGGGCTTCTATAAAGTCAAGAAACTGACAACGGTGTGGGAGACTGCATGGAGGAAGCCTGTAGTCGCTCTCTCTGAGGTTTAGTGAAGTGGGGAGGATAGGAACCCTCTGAGAAAGGATTTACTTAGTAGGCCTAAGAGAAAGGGGTCTGGAGAATGAAAAGCTTGGGAAAAGAACAGTAGGAAGTAGTCCAGGGGTGAGATTAGTAAGGTTGGTGTAGCCAATTAACTGCTTGCTACAGGGCCCTGGGCTGGAACCCAGCATACAGGGTGGGCCAGGGTTCCCCTCATATCGATTGGTAGAGCGGTGTTGCTTGGGGCAGTGAATGGGAAGACTGCCTGAGTCACTGCAGGACTGACATAGTCAGGGTAGTGGGCATGTGGACTGCCTGATGCTGCATGTGCAGAGACTTGGAAAGACTTCCTCTGAAGGGGAAATCGCAGTGTGGCTTGGCTGGAGGGCTGAGTCACAAAGCAGCCATGGTGTGACTCCATCAGTGGGAGGAGAACAGCAATGGTGGAAGAGAAGAAAAGGGGCACTGAACCAGGCGGAGCGAATTGCCAGAAGGAGGTGCCACACAACACTGAGTAGAACACATGTGACAGTCAGTTAACCTTAACTACAGGTGGCATTATCAGCTCTGTCTATGATATTCTCATATACCAAAAAACTAGAACAGAAGCAATGATACCAAAAGAGACACCATTTTGTTAGATATATTACAAGTGGGTTTTGTTACAAAAGGAGTAGTAATATCTAAGTAAGAAATTGTGAGGTATAAGCAACTAATAAATATTTATAAATTCATCAAAAATTAAATATGGACATATAATTAGTAAAATGCCAATATATTATTCTCTGAAAATACTCATACATATCTTAAGTCATGTCTGTTTTATGTTAAATACACTATGTAAAATATATACACTAAAGTCATCACAATTAATGTAAGCTATTCTAACTATTCCTGCAGCTAACTGTGATTACCAAATCCACAAAGCTAGTATTTTCTCCAGTTAGCTGATCTTCCTCATGTTCAGGAGCTACCCTTTTCTGTATCCACAGGCCTTACTGTGTCTTGCCTCTAGCTACTTCAGCAGCATCTGTGCTAGATCCCTCCAAAACTGATACCTCTCCCTAGGCTGAGTAAAAATAATTCATTCCCATACCTTTCCTGTGGCAGAGACCTGGTTTCATTTTTTTGGCCTTAAAAGCAGCTTGCAGATCCCATCAGATACCAGTACTTCAAATATTATTGCATCAGCAGAACTGGCTCAGGAGCCATTCTTAACTAGCATAACTGTTAATTTTGATCCATGATGTGGTTACATAAAACATCCTATTAATTTGACATTTTTCTTTCCTTGCAGTTTCCAAGGCAGTAGGCATCGCAGCAGGCATCTAAAAAGTTTCTTCTCACCTTAAAGTCATATAAAGGTACTCAAAAAACATGACCAAGTACTTGTAGATAGCTACAGAGTCTAAGTACTTTTCATTGTGTGAAGGTGGGGCTACAGCATTCTATTCTGTTTGTCTTTGCTTCCAATTGTGTTGTTAGCTTCCACCTCTTGTACTTCAGCAGTTCAATTTGTTGGTTTCCAATGGCTTTGTCCCCAGGAACAAGGCATAGGATCGTCTCATCAGGACTTTGGCAAAAAGTATTTACGTAAGCAGACAGATACACTTGAAGAATGCATGTAAAGTGCAAAGGTATCTAGCAATGGCACTTTGAAAAAACAGAAAGGACTGCATCTTAAGTTTTTTACCTAGCAATATCTTTTTCAAACTTATTCCAGCAGGATCTGAGACTAGATATAGTTTCCTTTAGTTCACATAATTCTTGGCAACATTTTTTCTTGGGGCCTTGTGCCCCTGTTGTGTCTTTGCTGGTTTGTGTAACCAATATGCAAACCTGTAAAAGAACAGTTTTTACATTGTTAATCGAGATGAGCTTATGTTCCTTTCTGCAGAGAAATACTTTAAAACATAAAACAATCAATAAATATAATTAACCTAACTGAGCCAGAACACTGGGCTACTCACAATAAGGCCATAGAATCTTAGTCACTTGTGATCACAACCAGATCAAACCACTAGAGTAGGGCTGGGCAAACTTTTTTTGGCCTGAGGGCCACACTGGGGTTGTGAAACCGTATGGAGGGCCGAGTAGGGAAGGCTGTGCCTCCATATACAGCCTGGCTCCCCGCCCCCTCCCACTTCCCGCCCCCTGACTGCCCCCCCTCAGAACCCCCAACCAGTCCAACCCCCCTGCTCCTTGTCCCCTGACCACCCCCTCCCTGAACCCCCTGCCTCTAACCGTCCCCCCAGGACCCCACCCCCTATCCAACCCCTTCTCCCTGTCTTCCCCCTCCCGGGACCCTGCCACCCCTAACCGCCCCCCCGGGACCCCACCCCTTATCCAACCCCCCCCTGCTCCCTGTCCCCTGACTGCCCCAACCCCTATCCACACCCCTGCCCCTGACAGGCCCCCCGGGACTCCCATGCCTATCCAACCCCCCTGTTCCCCATCCCCTGACCACCCCTCCCCCCCACCTCCACAGAACCTCCACCCCATCCAACCGCTCCCTGTCCCCTAGCACCCCCTGCCCCTTATCCAACCGTCCGCCGCTTACCATGCCGCTCAGATAGGCAGGACTGGAAGCTGCGCCACCCAGCCGGAGCCAGCCGCGCTGCCCACACAGCGAGCGGAGGCTGCAAGGCAGGGGGGACAGTGGGGAGGGGCGGGGCAGGACGGTCCCACAGGCCGGATGTGGCCCATGGGCCGTAGTTTGCCCACCTCTGCACTAGAGGCACAGTGGCTCTTTACACCAAACCAGAAAACTCAGTTTTGACTCCGAAGAAAGCAAGCCACCTGCTGAACTACCAGCACACCTTCCTGTAGCATCCAGTGGTGCTCTGAAGGGTTCACATGCAAGTACTGAACTGGCCTAATCCTTGGTTAGTTAATGCGTATAAAAACCCCAAATCCAATTAGAGCAAAAGCTTTGTTATCCGGCATGTTGGGGGAATAGGGGGGTGCCAGTTAATCAAATATGCCGGTTAACTAAGAGTTATACATTACCAATTGTAGGGAGATGGGGTGTGGAAGGAGATATGGGCTCTGGGCTGGCAGTGTGGGGTCAGAAATTAGGGGTTCAGGGTGTGGGAGGGAGAGCCAGGCTGAGGACTGGGTGTGCGAAGGGATGAGGGCTCTGGTTGGGGGTGCAGGCTCTGGGGTGGGGCCAGGGCTGAGGGGTTTGGGCTGCAGGAGGGGGCTCCGGCTGGGGCTATGGGGTTCGGAGTGTGGGACGGGATGTGGGTGGAAGAGGGGGTTGGGGTGGGGGGGGCATGGGCTCTGGGAGGGAGTTTGGGTGCGGGAGGGAGCTCAGGGCAGGAGGTTGGGGCACGAGAGGGGTTTCAGGGTGTCAGACCTGTCCTGCACTCACCTGGGGCGGCTCCCCACAAGAGGCGACATGATGTACCTGCTGCTCCTAGGCAGAGGCACGGCTGGGCGGCTATGGTAAAGCACTAACGCTTTTCAAAATAAGTACTGTGATAATATTTTTGAACCATAATTTTTCAGTTTCACCCTTTAATAGTACAGTAAAAGCTGAGCTATCTGGGACTTTACCCACCAGAAAGCTCTATAGATGTCTGATTGTCACTGAAAGTCTGGTTGGCATGGGGCCGTCAGGCTCCCTACCTGGCTCCGTGTAGCTCCCCGGAAGCAGCAACATGATATCCCTGCTGCTCCTAGGTGGAGGAATGGTCACAGGGACTCCGTGCGCTGCCTCCACCCACAGGCGCCGCCCCCACAGCTCCTATTGGCTGCAGTTCCCAGCCAGTGGGAGCTGTGGAGCCAGCGAGGGGGCCAGGGGCAGCGCACGGAACCCTGTGACCATTCCTCCACCTAGGAGCAGCAGGGATATCATGTCGCTGCTTCCAGGGAGCTACACGGAGCCAGGTAGGGAGCCTGACGGCCCCGCACCAACCGGACTTTCAATGACGATCGGAAATCTATAGAGCTTTCTGGTGGGTAAAGTGCCAGATAGTACAGTAAAAGCTGAGCTATTAAAGGGTGAAACTGAAAAATTAAGGTTCAAAAATATTATCACAGTACTTATTTTGAAAAGCGTTAGTGCTTACCACAGAATCTTTCCATAGACGTCAATGGGCTTTACATCAGAGCCTTAAACTCTGTATCAAGGGGCATACTATATAGGATGAGTTTTATAACGTTTCATTTTGGTTGATGGTAGTAACCTTCTATTCTGAAGAGCCTTAGAGAGCAATGTACTTTCTTTTTTAGATAAAAATATGCAAGATAATTTATAGGCTTTCCCAACAACTTACCTTTCTATTTTTGCTCCCCCTATCACATCTGCACTGTAGAATTTCTAATGTCATACATGAAACCACAGCAGTTTGCCATCTGAAATCTTTGTTGATCTTTTGTTTATTAAAGAATTTAAGCAAGTCACATGCCATATTCTGTAATGACCTTATTTCCTATGAAGAAAGAAATAAAGAAAAGAAGCCTTGAGTTTGAGTTCCCTTAGATTTTACAGTTTCAGTAGGCATTAGCTTGTTTAGCTTGTTATGCTGTTCTCTTCCAATATATCATGTGACTAACCTGACTAAATTTTCAGATTCTTGTAGTGTATGAAGCATTACTAGATGTGTTGAATTCAGTCTGCAATTACAACTGACACTGGTGGGTTTTGACCTTGTCTAAAGCAAACTAATATATCAAATTTTAAAAAGTGATTCTGTGGTTATGACAATTACCTATGTGTGAATTTATAAATATTAGTATGTATAGTAATGAGATTTCCCCCCTACCCCCCATTAACAACTTTGGCTTCTACATGGGGACAATGTCTGCCACATTATTTTACAAATACTTCTTACTAGAAAGTGCAGATTATTTTGTAAAAGATGTCTTACATACATAGACTTAAAGATCAATATCTGAAGTGAAGGTTTAGTTGTATTGGTAACACCAGAAAAAATTCTGGTAGGAAAATAAAACAAAGCATTTGAAAGATTAACGTTTACTTGTTAGCTAACTGACACAAAGACGGCATCCTGTTCTTCATTCCATATTGAATGAAAATATTTTTTAAAAATCAGTATTTTGATAAGTGAATATAATCTCTGTAGTATGAGATATTGACTTCTTTGGATACAGAATTACTATTTAAAGATTCAAATAAAATCAAGTAATTATGTGCAGTATGCATAAATTTTAGGCCCAGAAAAGATTAAAAGGAAATTATTTTATTAGCTTTTAGGAGCCCACTATGCTTGACTCTGTACAAACATGGAAAGAAAGATGGTCTCTGACTCAAAGAGTTTATAAGCTAAATATAAGAAACTGATGGAGACAGACTGACAGGGATGGGAGGAGGAGTATAAGGAAACAATGAGACAATATTGGTCAATATGATAGGCTGTGGCCTCAGCACACCAGCAGTCTAACCATTGCAAGTTTTAAAATGAACAGTTCTATAATACAAATTCTGAATACCAGGACTTGCTGTGATTACAACATAACAGTACCCATCAACGGAATTTGTCACACAGGGATTGGATTATACAGAAAAGAAATCAACAACACACAAGGCAAGTAAACTCTGGGGGGAAAAATGTACTAACCTTTCTGGAACTGTTATTCTTCGAGATGTGTTGCACATGTCCATTCCAATGTAGATGTGTGTGCACCCCGAGCACAGCTGCCAGAAATTTTTCCCTCAGTGGTATCCATCGGGTCAGCTCTGGTGTGTTCTAGGGCCATGTGTCCTTTGGTATATAGGGCACTGCCAACCCCATACCTCCTCAGTTCCTTCTTTCCAGCCAACTCTGATAAGATGGGTAGGAGGGTGGGTCTTGGAATGGACATGTGTAACACCTCTTGAACAAGTTACAGAAAGGTTTTCTTTTTTGAGTGATTGCACATGTCCATTCCAACGTAGGAGATTCCCTAGCAGTTGTACAGGTGTCCCTAGCCTCTGTTTGCTGGAAGCTGGGAATGGGCGACAGGGAACGGATCACATGATGATTACCTATTCTGTTCATCCCTCTGGGGCACCTGGCATATGCCACTGTCAGAAGACAGGATACTGGGCTTTCTTATGCTCTTCTGTAGGTGGACAGCTCAGAGTTTACTGACATGCTGACTGCAACTCAGCTTGGCTAAATCCAGCATTGTCCCTAGCCTGCTGAGTGACGGCATAATGAGAAGCAAATGTGTGCACCAACAACCAAGTTGCTGCGCTAAAAATGTCGTGAATAAGGACCTGTCCTCAAAACGCTGCTGAAGACCCTTTGTGTCCTTGTTGAATGAGTGGTTAGGATGGGAACACCTGCTAGTTTGTTACACATGTGATCCATAATGTCATCCATACATGACATGATCCATAATGAAATTATCTGAGCTGAGATGGAGAGACCTTTCATCCCGTTTGCAACCGCTACAAACATCTAGGTGGATTTCCGAAACTGTTTGGTCCTTTCTATGTAGAAAGCTAGTGCATACCTAACATCTAATGAGTGGAGCCTTTGCTCTTCCCTGTTTGTATGTGGCTTTGGATAGAAAACCAGTAGGAAGATAGCTTGATTGCTATGGACCCGGGAGACCACCTTTTGGAGAAGAGCAGGGTGAGGACACAACTGCACCTTATCCTTAAAGAACACTGTGTACAGCGGCTCCAAAGTGAGGGCACAGATCTCTGAAACTCTTCTGGTTGAAGTAATGGCCACTAAGAAGGTCACCTTCCAGGAGAGGTACAGTAACAAGCAAGTTGCCAGTGGCTTGAACGGGGGACCTATAAGCTTTCATAAGACAAGGCTGAGGTCTCGGGGGAGGGGGCACTGGTTGTTGCACCTGAGGGTACAACCTCTCAAAGCCCTTAAGGAAATGGTTAGAAAGATGGATCGGTCACCCAAGGGTGAAAAGCAGAGATTGCTGCCAGGCGGACTCTAATCGATGCCACGCTTAAACTCTAATCGACTGCAGTTTCAAGTGCAGTAAGTACTCTAGAATGAACGGCAGTGACAATCACATAGGCGAGACACCCTTCTAGGAAGACCAAATAGCAAACCACTTCCATTCTGCCAGGTAAGTCACTCGGTGGAAGGCTTTCTGCTTCCTAGTACAACCTCAAGGACCTGCTTCAAGCAGGCTAGTTCTGTGGGGGTTAGCCATGGAGCATCCAGGTCATCAGGTGGAGGGACCCAAGGTTCAGGTGGAGCAGATGACCGTGGTCCTGAGAGATCAGGTCTGGATGTAGAAGTAGTGGGATTGGTGACGCCACTGAGAGTCCAGCAGAGAGGCAAACCAATGCGGGCAGGGCCAAGCCGGAGCTATCAGAATGACCTGCACTTGGTCCCGCTTGATTTTCAACAGGACCTTGTGCACAAGTGGAATAGGAGGGAAAGCACAGAACAGGTGACCTGTCCGTGGAAGAAGGAAAGCATCTGAAAGTGACTCGGGGCTGTGACGCAAAAGGGAGCAGAACTGGTGACACTTCCTGTTGTGCTTTGTAGCAAACAGATCTACCTGGGGAGTTCCCCACTGCTAGAAAATGACCCCAACATCTAGGCAAGGGATCACTCATGGTGATCAGACAAGGATCTGTTGAGGTGATCTACCAGCTCGTTTTGTGCTCCTGGTAGGTAGGAGGCTTCAAGATTAATCAAGTAGGTTATACAAAAATCCCACAACTGAACTGCCTCCCAACACGGGGGGGAGGAAGGCATAGAACATGCCCACCATGTTGTCTGTTAGAACCAACGCATTTTTGCCTGTAACATGAGGCAGGAATGCCCGACAAGCCACAAGGACTGCCCTGAGCTCCCTGATGTTGATGTGCAGAAAGAGCTCTTCTGGGGACCACAGGCCTTGAGTTCTCAGGGGACCCAAGTGAGTTCCCCAGCCCAGTGCTGATGATTCTGTGGCCAGGGATAGTGATGGATGGGGCCATGAAAATGAGATGCCCTTGCAAACCACCAGTGGGTCCTGCCACCGATCGAGCGAGTTGAGAACCAGGCGAGGAATTGTAAGGATCATATCCAGATGATGGCAGTTTGGTGAGTTCACCGAGGCCAGCTATGTTGGGAGAGGTCTGAGGTGTAGTCTCGCGTACGCACTACATAACTACATGTGGCCATATGACAACTCTGACAAACACAGATCAGATAAACTCTATTCTCTGAAATGGGGTAAGGTTGGATCTCTGTGTATTTATAAGCAGACCCAGGTCCTGGAAAGTCAACTGGATGAGGTGGATGCTGGACTCCTCCTGAGCCCTGGTTTGGCCTCTGACCAGCCAGTCAATGAGCTAAAGATACACCTGCACCCCTTGGATCCTCAAGAAGGCTGCTACTACTGCCATGCACTTTGTAAAAACTTGTGGGGTAGCTGACAGGCTGAACGGGAGAACTGCAAACGATCCACTACCAACCTGAGGAACCTCCTATGTCCCTGAAAAATTGGTGCGTGAAAATAGGCATCTCTCAAATCAAAGGCGATGTACCAATCCCCTAGATCCAGGGAGGGGATGGACTCCAAGGAGACCATACAGAACTTTAGCTTCTTGAGATAACTTTTAACTGGCGCACGTCCAGGATAGGTCTGAGACCCCCCCATGTTTTTTCTGAATCCCAAAAGCAGGGAGTAGAACCCCCAACCCTTAAATTCTGTGGAACCTCTTCCATGGCTCCCACCTATAGAAGCGACTGCACCTCTTGGGCCAGAAGTTGCTTGTGAGAGGAGTCCCTGAAGAGGGATGGGGAGAGGGGTGAGGTGGGAGGGAAGAACTGAATTGAAGAGTATATCCCACTTCTATTGTGCTCAGTACCCAGTGGTCTGTAGTAATATGGGACCATTGCCTGGAGGAAGTGGGACAAGCAGTCCGCAAACAAAGGATAGGTTGGATCCAAAGTTTCTGTGACTGGTATGGTGTCCTTAAGTGCCACATCAAAAGGCCTACTTAGAGCCCCCTGAATATCTGGGAGGAGCGGGCACTGATGTTGAGGAGGACTGGGGTGAAGGCCTCTGCCTGAAGCCTTTACTCCTCTTTCTCTGAGAGTTCTGCGGGGCAGGCAGAGGGAAGAACCAGGAGGAATGTTGGGGCCTATTATGCTTCTCAAAGACACCAGGAGTGTAGAAGCCCAGGGACTTCAGAGTATCCCTGGAGTCCTTGAGGTCATGAAGCTTGAAGTCTGTCTGCTTTGAGAAGAGCGAAGTGCCCTCAAAGGGAAGGTCCTAGAGGGTCTACTGAACCTCATGTGGGAGGCCTGAGACTTGGAGCCAGGAACCCCTACACATGACCACTGTGGAGGCCATGGACCTGGTCTCTGAATCCTCAGCATCCAGGGCCACTTGTAAGGAAGCCCTTGCTACGAACTTCCCTTCCTCCACCAAAGAGGAGAATTCCCATTTGGTCTCTTGGGGCATCGAGTCCTTAAACTTTAACAAGGAGTCCCAAGTGTTAAAGTCACATCTGCTCAGGAGTGCTTTTCATTAGTGATCCTGAGCTGCAAACCCTCAGTTGAATAGACTTTCCTCCCAAACAGGTCTAGCTTTTTTGTGTCTAGCTTTGGGGATCACCCTTTGTAACCCCTGTCACTCTTGCTCATTGGCAGCAGAGACCACCAGGTATCCTGTGGAGGTGAGGGTGGGATGAGGATGCAAAAACTCATATTCTCTAGCCAGGACAAAGTACTTCTTTTTCAGCCTTCTTGGCCATGGGAAGTAGGGACACCAGGGTTTACTGTAGGGCTTTTATTGGGTCCATGATGGCTTCATTGAGGGGAAGGGTCACAAGATGTCCACCAAAGAGTGGGAGGACTCCTGAACCCCCTCCACCTGAATGCCCAGGTTTTGGGCCACTCTCTTAAGAAACTCCTGTTGGGCCTTATAGTCATCATGAGAGGGTGATATGTCAGTTCCTGTCATGGCCTCATCAGGAGAAGAGGAAGAGGAGGCTTGCACTGGTAGGGAGCACAACAACTCTTTGCTTTTGGCACGAGCCAGGTCCCGTGATGTTGGCTCCTGGTACTTGGTACCAGAGCCTGGATCAGGCTCTGCTTGAAGAAGTGGCAGCACTCTACCTTCACAGCCACCGAGTATGAGCACCTCCATCAAGGACCCTGCATAAAGGGAAATGCCAACAGGTTCCAGAAGGACCACTGTGCAGGCACCTGCCACTAGCCAGCAGGCCAAGAACTCGACGGTATGGCCTGGCCCAGGTCCATTGCAGGATAGTGCCGACTTGCCTATTGGGGCTGGCTCCTGTGGGAGATATGTGACTCCACCTCTGACTCCAAGGACGAGAAGTCTCTGTCCAGAGACCACGGAGGAGCAGTTCCCATCGGTGCCAGTGACCAGTGTCAAGGCAGGGAAGACTGGAACTGGGCCCTCATGGCCAGCTTCCCTTTATACAGTACCAAGGGCTATGGAGTGGCCCAGTGCAGGTCACACTCTGTTCTAGTCTCCATGCCTGGCCATCCTAGGGGTCGGGGAATGTCCTCTCTTGAGTGGCATTTTTTTTTGTTTTTTCCTCAGCACTGGAGATGCTGAATGGCGCTGATGTGCCCGGACAGCGGCAGGAGTGCCCCTCAGTGACACCAAGGTGCTTGGTGCTGAGTTTGAATGGCTTGGCTCCAGTCGAGGTCTGAGCACTGCTCCTAGTAAGATGGACTTCAGCCTAGCATCCTGGTCATTTTTGATACAGGGCTTGAAGTCCTGCAACTCTTGCAGCGCTCCCAAAAGTAAGCTTCCCCTAAGCACTTAAGGCAACTGGAATGTGGGTAGGCCAGAGGCACAGCCTTGCTGCAGGAGCCACAAGGCTTGAAGCCCAGCCACCAAAGCATGCCTCAGTACCGGGAGCAGAGGAAACTAACTCTAACAACTACAAGAGAAACTATGAACAAAACTATATGTATATAGAGAGAGGAAACAAAGTCCACAGAGAAAGACTTGCAAGAGAAGGACAGAGCATTTCCAGCGACCGTCATAGGTGGTAAAAAGGAACTGAGAGGACGTGGTCAGCAGTGCCCTATATACCAACACTATGGATGTGTAGCACTATAGGGCACCAGAGCTGACTTGACAGATACCGATGAGGGAGTATTTTCTGGTGACAGTGCTCAGGGCGCGCACACACCTATATTGCAACGGACATATTCAATCATTCAAAGAAGTTGTCTTTTACCTGAGTATCATTGCAGAAAATTGCACTGGGGTTTTCATGTCTTTTATTCCTGCAGCACCTGTCACGATACTCTTCAGACATATTTTCCTATAATAGATCATATGTTAAATAATGTAACAGTGTTCTAATCAAGTTGCCTTGGTTTCTCTTTCAACAGTTCATGAGCTTTACTCCTTACACTGCTTTTTGGGATGGCATCAAAAGTAGCAGTGGAAATAGAGAGTGCTGAATTTTTTCTTGGCAAGTAAGCTAAGGAGGAAATAATTTAACTATAGTTTGCAAGGGTAGCTGTTTATAATTTTGAAACTACAGATTCCACTTAATTACTTGATTCTTAACAGTGGTTTTTTTTTTTGTTTTTGTTTGAAGTTTATTCTCTTATGAAATATACACAGGTTGAGATTTTCCAAGGCATCTAATGGGATTTTGGCATGCATCTTCTATTCACATGAAAAAAAAGTTGTGTCTAAATCCCCTAAATGTCTTCAGCTGTAAGTCTTTCCCCTTTGCTCCACCACTGTTTGTTGCCTTTGTTTCCTTCTTCATGTCACCCAGATGCTTGTAATACCTCTGGATCGCAATGGAAACACATTCTCTCTCACTCTTCTTTCTAACCCCCCTCTAAAGTCTCTCTGTACCTTGCAGAAGAAATGAGTTAATTCATATCAATAGTATGTCATCCTGTATTTTAACAAATACAAGAAAGGTTTAGTCATCTCCATCCTTTGGGTTTCCCTTTGTATTTTTGTTGTAACTTTGTCAGTGTTTCAGAAGCACACCTGAGCAAAACTGACTTCAAACTTTTGAGACAGTAGAAGTAGATTGTGTAAACAGGGAGGTACTCAACACAAAGCCCTGAAGAGTCAAATAGTCAAAGACATAAAACAATTAAGAGAGCATCAAACAGCTTTGTTTACTGAAGTGCTGAAATTCCATTCTAGACACAAGGGCCCGCCAGTCAGCAGCTCTGCCTGCCTTTTTTCAAATAGCTTCACAGTAATTGCTCTGGTTGGTAAGTAGGTAGGTAGGTCACTGGGTGGGACAAAAAGACAATGGATGAAACCCTAGCCCCACTGGAATCCATGGCAAAACTCCCCTAGACTTCAAGGGGGCCAGGATATAACCCACTAGCTGCCTGTAGTTAATGTCTCCAGTCACCAGATATGGAACAAAATCACAATGAGCATTGCCACATGTAACCTCTAATAGAAATCATAATTTACTCTTGCCATTCTTTTAAGCTCACGCATAATCTCGGGGGGAATGATCATGGGAACCTTGGTCCTTGAGAATTTAAGAAACGCATACCATAGTTTGGGTGAGAAATCAACATTATTCTCTCTGTGGGGTGACATTGCTTATTGACAGTCAAAGTTTTTATTTTATTCTTTAATATTTTTGCTCTATGAACCACTGCATTTACAGAAATCTAGATCAAAGTTAGCCTTGAGCATAACCTTGCAAATCCTGCTCCGAGTCAGACTAGACAGAGATTAGTAACTAAAAGGAAAGTAACAATATCTTACACACACTTCAGCAGCATGGTACTTATCAGAAGTATTAATTATGGTGGCTTGGTGAGGATAAGGAGGTAAAGATCCTTCTGCCTCTAGATTCCAGGTTCAAACCAGAACATAGGTTTTGTAGTAATGGAAAGTTATTTGCTATCACTCTATGATCTCAGGCAAGAGGCTAGTGGACACCTTCTACCACACAAACAGTATTACTAACAGTTATTGCTGGTAATCTAAACAGACAGACAAGCACTGATTAAACATGGAGACTGAACTAACCTCTCCAGAGCTGGGGTAACACACATTGGCTGCGAAATGAGGGAATCTGCTTAGTAGGTGCTCGTGCTACCCCTATTCTGTGAGATTTCAATATTCACAGTCCCATACCTTTCATGAGCACTAAATTCACAGCTCCTTAAATACAAGTTAAATAGCAAATACTTTCATTTTTTCCCAGTCTCCTGTGGAATTCTAACAACTAGGAATGATTCACTTGATGTAGAGAGCTGTTGACTTCAGCATTCTATTTAATGTGCTGGCACAAAGATATAAAATACTAGGTTAATAGTCTGGGTATGTCAGTCTTCTGGATTATTGTTATGATTATTATTTCCAAATGGGATCATTGTCAGCAATGAGAGGTAGAGATCAAGACTGCGGGCCAGTTTTTTAAATGTTGTCTCCGGTTTGTGAATATATTCAACAGAGGGCATAAAACTTCAGGCAAAGTTATAAAGAGATGGAAATTATGGGTCAGATTATGTAGCTTCTATTCATATTGAATAGCATTTACAAACACAAGTAGTCTCAGTGACTTCACCACAACTATTGCATAAGTGCTCTCCAATGGGATTAGGTGTTACACAATCTAAACCTAAATGGTTTATATCTCTAACTACCTGTGGCAAGGACACAATCATCTGAGTCATATCATTCGCACCTGCAAATAACGGCATTCATAGCTAGGTGTGAGTGCAAAATTAGAGACTGCATCGTTATATCCCGTAAAAAGAACTGCACACCCATTTTAATGTGTGCCTTTAAATGTGACATTTAGCATGAATTAACCTTAAAATTATTCACCAAAAGAAGACTTTTACTTTTTAAAAAAATTTAAAACAAAAGAATATGACTACCTACCAGCAAATCAATATCGTGGCTTAGGATATTCTCATACTTTTCACGTATTACAGTTGTATTTTCCATCACACAAGTAGATGAATTTACTGGCAACAGAACTATGAACAGTGGCAGAATCCCAAACACAGACCTAAAAAAAACTAGATTACAACAACATCAATTAAGTATATATTTAATACTACGGAGTATGCTCGATTAACTGTTATGTAATGAAGTCTCTTATAGTAGTTTATCTGGGATTTATTGTTCATCTCTACCAAATAACTGGTACATTACAGTCCATTTTGGGTATGAAATGTGAAAATGCCTTTAAACATACCTTGTCAGAAAAGTATCTTTTAAATGCGTTTTCAGAGTATGTTGCCCTCGGGGTATTAACATAAACTTCATTAATGCTAACAAAAACAATAACTATGTTGAGCGGACAATAATATCCTTTAGTGTATTGTTAGAAATCCTGAAGTACTACAGTATACAGCAGATGAAGTATACATGTTTGCAAGTATAATTTTATTTTTAAAATATTTGGATTTGTGGGGGCATTTTTTAAAGTAAAGTTAGTGCTCATGAAAGACACTGTCCTATTTGCCCTCGGTTGGGAAGGTTGGGCCCCTCAGAGTCATGCAGGCTGCCAGTCCTAGAAACTAAAATCGCCTCCATGTGCCAAATTTGCTTTGCATGAAGTCAATGCAGAAATTCAACTGAATTCAATGGGAATAGAGTTACAGCCATAGTCCATGTAACAGCTATTCTGTAACATACGTTTCGCCACAGCTCCCTGCCAATGGACCTTAATGCTGTCTTGGAAGGATTACCTCTAGGAATAAGAATATAGTTCAGTCTTCACGCCCCCTCAATCCCTCTCTGCTGATATTGTCAATTGTGTAGTGTTGATTAAGGATACTACAGAGTAGACAGCTACCCTGTAGAAACTGAATTGAGAAACTCTTTTCATCGCTGTTAGTCAAATTTCACAGTCTTTTCTTGGGCAAATTTCCCTTTGACTTTTAATGAGAGTTTTGCTTGAGTAACAGGCAAATTCTTTATCCCTATCTTAGGTATTTCCAGGGCATCCATCACCACAATCATAAGCCACTGAAAAGCCATCTAAGGGAAATAATTTATGGCCACTAACAGTCAGGGCTGGATTTAAACAAGCCAAATAAAGGTGACAGGCTCAATATCTCATGACACATTCCCTGACCTAGTCAGGTCCTAAGAACGTATATACAAGAGCACATATAACACACATTGTACAGGAAGCCTGGGCACCTAATTTAGGGCTGTGGATTACACTAGGTGGCAGGGTGCCTAAAAGTTAGGCATTGCAATACTGAGTCTAAGACTCCTCAGTAGATCTAGCCCTAGGCACCTTTCTGCATCTTTAGGCTCCTAACTAACTTTGAAAATCTGGTCCAAAGAGCTTCGTAATCCCTTGAGAATAAAGACATAAATATAGTAAATATAAGGCTGTCAAAGCCTATAATTTATTAAGGCTGTATCTGCCATCTATGTATTACATAATATGTCCCTGATCCTGCACTTAAACCTCTGACTTCTACAGAGTCATAGAGTTTAAGGTCAGAGGGACCACTAGATCATCTAGTCTGACCTCCTGAATATCACAGGCCACCAACACTGCCCCACACTCTATTCTAAATTTGGTTGTGAAGTTTTATAGCCCATAGGAAATTAGATGATTAGTATGCACCATTGGCAGAAGCCTTGTAATGGCAGGGAAATGATTAAGTGAGATGTACCCAGATAACCCTGGCAAGTGACTGGCACACATACTCTGCAGAGGAAGACAAAGGAAACACAAGGTTGCTACCAATCTGACCTGGGGAAAAATTCAGTTAGACTCCGAGCATGTGAGCAAGAACCAGTCAGGCAAGCACCCGAGAAACAGAATGCTCAGTGACACCCCAGAGCCCTGGCCCACTCCGTCCAGTGTCCAATCTCCAGCTGTGGCCATCTCTGATGCTTCTGAGGAAGGCGACCAAAACAGAATGAAAAGCCGCAGCAGGTGGCCAGCTGAAGCCCTGAAGCATGTGCTCTTAGGAACATGAGACATAAACTGGAAGTGAGCCCCAGGGCTGCTGAACCCTATCCTATCATACAATCACACTTACACATTGTCCAGCTCTCTCCTCAAGCTAATTAAGTTGTTTGCTCCCACAACTCCTACTGAGAGGCTGTTCCAGAACTTCATCCCTCTGATGGTTAGAAACCTTCTCCTAATTTCCAGCCTCAATTTGTTCATGGCCAGTTTATATCCATTTGTTCTTGTGCCAACACTGTCCTAAAAAGCTCTTTACCTGCCCTAGTGTTTACCCCCCTCTCCTCCCAATGTATTTATAGAGAGCAATCATATCCCCTCTTAGCCTTCTTTTTGCTAGGCCAAATGAGTCAAGCTCTTCCAGTCTTCTCTCATATGATAAGCCCTCCATTCCTTGTTCATCCTAGTAAATCTTCTCTGCACCCATTCCAGTTTGAATTCAACTTTCTTGAACATGTATGACAAGAACTGTACACCATATTGCAAATGAGGTCTTACTAGTATCTTATATGATATTAATACTTTTCTAGCTCTACCAGAATATATCCAAGGATTGCAGTTGCCTGTTTCACAGCTGCATCACGTTGCTGGCTCATAGTCATCCTGTGATCAAGGAACACAGCCAGGTCTCTCTCCTCATCTGTCACTTCCAACTAATGAACCCTCAGCTTGTAGCAGAAATTATTATTAGACCTTAGGTACATGACCCTTGCACTTTGTATTATTGAATTCCATCCCATTTCCATTATTCTAGTCTTCAAGGTCATCCAAATCTTCCTGTATAATATTCCAATCTTCCTCTGTACTGACGTTGCCTCCCAACTTTGTATCCCCATCAAATTTCATTAGCATACCCCTACTTTCTGTGCCATGGTCAGTAATAAAAATATTGAGTAAGATTAGTCCTAAAACCAATCCTTGAGGAATGCTACTAGTAACTTTCTTCCAGTCACTTTTTGGCACAATCTGTTACATTCTCCCCCTTTAACCAGTTCCTTATCCACCTTACAATTCTTATACTAATCCCCATCTTCTCTAATATAACTAACAATTTCCCAGTTGTTTTATATTTCAAAAGACAAATAACAATGGTCTAAGTCTGTCATCTGTGCAACAAATTCCATCAGTAACCCCAAACAAGAATGGTTTCAGAGTGGTAGCCGTGTTAGTCTGTATCAGCAAAAACAATCAGGAGTCCTTGTGGCACCTCAGAGACTAACAAATTTATTTGGGCATAAGCTTTCGTGGGATAGAACCCACCCATGAAAGCTTATGCCCAAATAAATTTGTTAGTCTCTATGGTGCCACAAGGACTCCTCACCTTTTTTTATTAAACAAGGATGAATCACATCCCTTACACATATCAGTATATGGCAACAACACTGTAGCCATAGACCCACTTAATCTAGCAGTTTGTGATTAAAGATAACCTGCAAAGGAAAAAGAGTTGGGCCTATGCCATTATTATTATTATTTGCTTCTCTATGATCTATAAAGAAGGCCTGAAAGGTTTGTCGGGGAGTATGTGTTTTTTTACATTAGTAAATTAGGTCCTAATAAACCCATAATACTGATACTATGAGAAGAGCTAAGAGAGAGCCAGACGATTGAGAAAGGAAAGGATTTTCTGTCAGATTGTTTATAATTAAAAAAAGTGAACATCTATTTATCTGCACTGACTCATTGCTGTGTTGAAGGAAATGAAACTTTTAACAAAGTGAACATTCTGCTCTTCCAGTGAAAGTATATGAGTTCATAAATCCCAGTTCCCAAAATCCCCAGCCAGCAAGAGTTAACATTCATGGGAGTTTCAGGCAGAGGAAAAAGCTCATATTTACAAAAAGCAACCTTTAGTCCCTTCAGGGTACAAGAAGGGAGCCAGGCAGGCACACTATCAATGTTCTACCACCCAGGGGCACGAGATCACTTCTTATAATCCCAATGTTATACCACCCTTGCAATATCTGTGGATTAAGCGACAGTAATGGAAAGCTACCAGGTTGTAGCATCCTTGCGGGGTTTCAATGCTTCCAAAAGCCTCCAAAGGAGGCTGTTCAGAAGCACCAGCAGGTCCAGTCTGGGCTTTCCCTGCTGTGGCTCAGACCACTGGGCAGTCAGGGTCGGCTGTGTCCCTCAGCCCCCCAAGCCATGGAAATGCCCCATTGGCCTGAAGGAGAGAAGAGCGTGTTACCTTCCTGCACCCAAAGCTTCCCAAAGCAGGAGCAGGCGTGAGGGGGGGGGGGGCAAGCAGGGGCACAGCCCCCCTAATCAGTGGGGGCACAGTGGGGGGAGGGAAGCAGCTCCTCTGGCCCCGCAGGGCAGTGCCCTTCCAAAAGCAGCCGAATTTTTATTCCTGCGCAGGCCCCTGCCCCAGAGCAGGATTCTGCCAGAGCCTGCAAACCCAGGAGGCTTAATACATCTCCCTCCCCCTCAGCTGAGGTAGGGTGACCAGACAGCAAGTGTCAAAAATCCGGATACTTTTTCCCCCCGGAGATAGCTGCCTATATAAGACGAACCCCCTAATATTGGGACAGCTGGTCACCCTACGGCTGAGGAGCCGCTGGCCGGGCGCGTGGGGACCCTCCGAGACACCTGTTTGGTGCCTGCCTCAACTTTGAGCGGGGGTCGGTGCAGCGTGCCTGCTTGCCCCCGGCTTGGCACGGCATGCCGCGGGCAAGGCGCACGCCGCGGGGAGGGGCGGCTATTCCCTGCTGGAGCCGAGGGGGGACGGGCGGCAGCGGACCCGCTCCCGGGAGGCCAGCCGCTGCCTGGGGGAGCCGGTTTCCCTGCGGGGCGTCCGCGGGCAGGGGTTTGCACCGGCCTTGCTCCCTTGCCCGCTCCCCAACTCCTGCAGTTCCCACCAACGCAATCCTGATTTCCCGACACCGGGCGGGCTGGGAACCGGGCGCTTCCACTTTCGCTCTGAAAAGCTGGGAAATTCCCGGCCGGGACACGGAGGATAAAAGCACCGTCGCGGGCGCCGCTGCTCCATTGCGGGCGGTAGCTGCCAGGGAACCAGCGGAGCCGGTGAGACGCGCGCCGCGGGGCAGCGGGCAGCCTGGGCTGAGGTGCAAAATCCGCCGGGGCTGCGCGCCGGGAGGGCTGCAGGAGTCGCCGGCTCCGGGGAGGGAGCGAGGGTCCCGCGCGCGCGCGCGCCCCTTACCATGGAACATTGTCCGCAGGGAGAGGTGGAGAGCGCTGCGCTGGTGGCTTCTCGGTCATGGTGGTGGCAGAGGCTTGTGCATGGTGCGAGGCTGGTGCAGAGCGCGAGGGGAGGCTCTGGGAGTGCAGAATCCGCCGGGCCAGGCTGCGCCAGGCGCTGCTGTGCGAAGGAGCGGGAGTTCCCGGACTCACCAGCCCTCTGGCCGCATCTTCCTTGGGGCAGACCCGCTGGCTCCGCGGGGCTCTGCTTTTCCCATGGGACTTCCGCGTGCACAAGTTACTTTCACTTTCTGCTCTGCCTGTGTGGCCCCTGCTCTCCAGCCAAGGCTGCGGACTCAATGGCTGCACCGCGGCCAGGGGCCGGACGGAGCAGGTGGGACAGCGAAGTTAGCGCGCTTCCCCGCCCTCCGCGCAGAAAAGCGCCCCGCGCCCCGAAACCTGCCCAGTCAGGGGATCAGTCCGCGGGTCCACCCCGGTAGCTAGAGCCTGCGGCTAGCGCGCGGCTGGGGGGGGGGGGGCGCCGAAGGGGGGAAAGGCAGCGCGGCGCTCCAAAGGCCAGAGCCCCACACAGAAGTGACAGCTGGAGGCGCTGCTTGTGGGGCTTGTCCCGGTCCGGGGAAGAGGAGGTGGGATCACACATGCCTTCCACGCCCAGTCCTTCAGGGATCCCACTGTGCGGGCAGAGGCAGAAGGATGTACCTTGGCAAGGCGCACGGAAAGAACCATTCATTAGGCATCAGAACATTGTGAAAGACTGGTTTTTGTTGTTGTTTGCTTAGGGTGGCCTTTTTATTTTTATTTTTTTGGTATGTTTGGGGTGGGCGGGCGTGCTGCCCGATCCCTGTGAGAGCCCCACACCCACCTCAGGGGCTGCACCCACCCAGCTTGCATCCAAAAGCATGTGACTGAAATATGGAACGTGCCGCCGGGTGGAGAATATCTGGGGACTTCCTTGACTCATTTTCAACGCTCCTGAAAGAGCGCGGGCCAATCTTTAGTTCAATTGAGTCTCCCGGGAAATTATCCACTAGTTTATCTTTTGGGGGGGGGGGTGTAAAGTTCACATGGTAGTAAGGACTGGAGAGTAATTGCAACGTGGGGGAAACAGTACGGCAGGGGGGAATACACTCTGATCGATGTGAAAGGGTTTGAAATGTTACATATCCATAAGCAATATCTCGGCCAGCGAGTCTGCTTTAGCAGAAAGGCCCGCCCAGGTCGTGCAAAGCGCTGTGCGTGCGTGGACTCTCACGGAGATCGTGGAGCTTTGCCCAGTTCCAAACCTCAGCGGTCTGTTCACTTGGATCTCCATGCAGGATCGGGGCCTAACTTTGGTCGCTAGTTACATGGGTCTTGAATGTGAATGAGAATTTTGCCTGACTAAAACTTCCAATATTTGGTCCTTAATTTGATCTGTTCATGAGACTGCTGAATTCATCAACAGCTTTTTATTGGTTCTACTGGGCAAGCGTGCCTTCCACCCCACCTATATCGAAATCTGCCATCCCCTCTGGTCTAAAGAAGCCTGACTTGGTTGATATTCAATTTAAAGCATGCTGCAGAGCTTCTCGAGGAGGGGAAGCAGCTTGTAGGGGGGTTTTAGGAGGTTTAGTACAGGGCATGATTTAGGGTGTGAGCTGGCCTGGCTGTATTTGAAGGGGGTGGGGATTACCTTGTGCATGATTTGTGATTCATTTTAAAGAACTGGGAACCCTTGGGTGGATGAAAACTTTTGCATTGTAAGGCCAGAGTCCTCCAAACACTTGTGCATGTGCTGAACTTTACTTACTGAAGTAGTCCTATTGACCTCTGGTGGTACTACTTCTATGAGTCAAGGTAGGCGTCTGTGTAAGTAAGTGATTACAAAATCACAGCGAAAAGTTATACCAAAGTCATGTATGCATATGCTAGCAAACAGTTAGTATGTAAAACTTACAGGAGTACTTTATTTAGTTGGCTTTAGATGTTCTGGATAAAAAAAAACTAGAAAATCATATAAAAAAGACACAGATATAAAATATAATAATTATTATTAATAAAACTTTCCGTACTGTGACTCACTAGGCTGTGTTCCTTTAATAGCCATTCTGAAACTGAGGGTTAAATCCTGAAGTCAAAGGGCATTTGGCTTATATGACTCTGTAGTCAGAGTGACAAGCAAACTAATAGCTTAATAGCTTAGATCATTTTGGCCAGGGTCTGCAATTAGATTCATGGGTATGCAAGGGTTTACCAGTGTTGAAGGCCTTCCCAAGTAAAATATGAACAAATAAATACTTGAATGCCATTATCTACGGATATTATTTCACAAATGCTGCTTAATATGAAAACATCTCTCTGTAGTAGAAAAGCATCAAAAGTGTAAAGAAGTTTGGTTCCCAATGCATGTATATTTATTCAAAGTAGACTAGACAATGTAAACTTGTTTAATGGTCGTGTAAAAAATATATGCAGTACTTCTTTCATCTCTGTAGTGGCTTCTCGTTTTTTAACATGGTCAAGTCATCTGTTAAAATTACTTAAATTATCCAAAGAGAAATAAGACTATTGTGAAATTAACTACTGTTTTATGACAGATTTATTCAGCAATAAAACAATCTGAATGTTAAAAGCAGCAGGGATTGAAAATTATGGTTGCGAAGACTAAATGTAAATCAACTCCATGTATTATGGGAATATCTCAGCATTCATGAGTTCTGGATGAAAGAATCATTGGAGGATCAATGATATTAAAAAGGCTAACTGATTTGACCCTAACCTAGTTTAATTAACTGATAAAAGAAAAGGAGTACTTGTAGCACCTTAGAGACTAACAGATTTATTTGAGCATAAGCTTTCGTGAGCTACAGCTCACTCCATCGGATGCATTCAGTGGAGTGAGCTGTAGCTTACGAAAGCTTATGCTCAAATAAATTTGTTAGTCTCTAAGGTGCCACAAGTACTCCTTTTCTTTTTGCGAATACAGACTAACATGGCTACTACTCTGAAACCTCTAATTAACTGATATCATTTTTCAAATTTTAGGAAACATGTCTGATATATAGGGCCCAACAGTGCTCTGAGTGAAGTCAGTAGCAAAACTTATTCACTGGAATGGGACCAGGCTATCGTTAAACAGAAAAAATCTGAGGTCTTGATTCTGTCGTCTTTACTTGGGGGAAAACTTTAATTGACATCAGTGAAAATGTTGCCCGAGAAGTACTATAGAATTGGACACATTTATTGTATTGCCATACTAGACAGCTCCAAAATAATCAAATATTTCAGTTTATTATTTATAATTTGACTAACTAAGCAAGAGTGGAGAGTAGGTGGCTTTCTGAAAGATTTAGGTGATTCTTTCTGTACATATAGAATTTTTTGTCTGTTCCTGTCTGTAAATGCATATGTTTCCTGTGTTCATTCACTGATATATAACCTTGATTTCTTTCAAGCTTTGAAAAATAAGCAGAAATAACTTTGAAAAACAGAGAAAGCATTGAAGTTTGTATAGCAAAGAGTTACAAGATACCAGTAACATTCTCAATTTATGCATGATCATACTCCATGAGTTTAGTATATGAATTTGTGAAGATAAGTGCTGTTCATCTGAATTACCTTCAGTAGGTATTACTAGAATGACAGACTAGATTACTTTTTTTAAAGTAGACCTGATAATGTCCTAACTTTCTGCAACGATTAAAAATAAATAGCTAATAGTCAGCAATTACTGCAACATATTAGTTGGAAAAACATTTAAGGGCCCAGTCCTTCAAGCTTTCTCTTTAGCGGGACTATTCATGTGACTAATGCTGTACTCATGCTGAAGTAGTTTTTAGGGTTGGGACTTAAAATATAACATGTAATTGCAATAACTGCTTTTCAGTCAATGATAACGTCTTCTGTACATAAATGCATAAATTTAGATTATGGCCTATTATGTAAATCATATTTCTGCAGTATTGGTGAATGCTTAATTTAAAAAACTATGGTGTACTATCAAAATATATATGTAGCAGAAGAGCTCTTTTTAATTTTGTGGTAAAAAAGCTAAATGTTGTGGTTGAGACACATACTGACAGAATCCAATAAATTGGGGTTTCTGTTATTCATATCCTTATATTTTAAGTATAAATATGTGACTGGTGATAGACTTAATTGAATTTTCTCATTCTCAGCTTGTTGCAATTTAATGTTAAATATTCTAGGGGTTTTCTATACATTACAAAAAGTCTTTGCTTACTTGGGATTCAATGTCAAATGCATGGGGCACCCCGAACTCCCATTGACATGGAGGTTTGGCCTTATTTTATAGTGCAGCTAGAACTAGGGTTCCAATCCTACAGTTACACCAAAATGTTCATTGACTTCTGTTGATGGATGATAGATACTTTTTTTTCCCTGCATACAGTGATTGTGATCTTTAGAGTTGTATGTTATAGGACAACAAGTGAAATGACTGTTTTTTAAAATGCACTACTGCTCTAATTGAACGAAATGTATATTTTTATGTAAGAACTCCAGCATAGTCTATCTTCCCCCCTCCATCCCGCACCCTTGGAACTTGATCCTATATTCCTTTTGCACCCCAAATAGATTTCATTAGGCATTTAGTATTTAAGAGAAATTCAGGGCCTTTAGAATGGCCTTTTTTCTTTCTCCCTGTCACCCACAAATGCTAGCTTTGAAAGAGTCTCTGAAGAAAATTTGTATTTTCATTATAGCCATAGTTGGACTTTAAAGCATAATTAAAAGAAAAAACAAAATAGTTGCTGTGGTGGTTTTTCATGGATCAAGCTAACTACACAGGACATAAACTATTACAAATTGCCATGCTAACATTCTGAATTGAATTAAATAGGGTTCCCTTTTAGTGGACACATTGTTTGGAACTACCTTTGCGTTTCGGAAGAGTAGGTACTTATATTATGTCTGCTGTCATTGTAATCTGAAAAAAGAAAATATATGCATTTCTTGTTTTTGTTTTTAAGTTGGAAGCATTTATATTTACTCAACTTGCATAGAAATATTTAAGTAAGAAAATCTGAAGGCTGTAGGATTGAGCCCTTTTGTGTTTTGGAAGGGGGAAAACAAGAATTCGTTTCTTATGAGCTTTTTTTGTTGGAATATTCTGCAACTGTGATGCATTTTATAGTATGCAAAAGAAAATATATATGTTTAAAACTTTATCAAAGTTCATTTTAAGAATATCTCAAAATAGGGTTTTGGAGACCTAATTAGGAGAAAAACTGTAAGGATAAAGAAACAAAACAATAGACGTAAACAAATTTCTTCAGGATTGTTACTGCTTTGACATTATGGAATATATTTTTTTATTAAAGCTATCTACATTTTGAAGTTTCTGTAATTCACATGTCCCTGAAGTCGTTAAAGTAATAAACTTTTTTTGAATTTTGGAACATTCCTAGATTTCTAAATCTTATGAGGAATGTCCTATATTGACCTTTTGATAAAAACTGTTGTGGCGAACAAAACATACATACTTATAGACTGTGTGTTGATATCATTTGGA